CAAGTACAGTGGAACCTCGGTATACGACCTTAATCCGTTCCCGATGTTTGGACTTATACCGAATTGGATGTATACCAAACCAACCTTTCCCATAAGAAGTAATGTAAAAATGATTAATCCATTCTCGTGTAAAAAAAATGGCTGGCTTTAAACACCTTGCTTTCCTGGCTAGTTCCTGCTTGATTTTTCATGAGATCAGCGTGTATCTTTTTAGCTTTCTCGCAAATAATTGCTTCCGATATGCTGTCTCCAGCACTGTTTTTCAGTTATCCAAAGCAAAAGCAATTTCTCGATATGATCTAATGACTTTGATCTCTGTTTAGAAATTGATTTAACCCTTTTCGTAATTTTAGCAGATTTAATAATGTCTTTATTTTTCGTGATTGTTCATATTGTCGTTCTCGGAATACGGTAGGCAACAGTTAAAATCTCGAACACGCGTGCCACCTTTGTATTTCTCAACAATCTCTCATCAGTTCCATTGTAATTCTAGTAATTTTTTTTAGTTTTCTGTCGCTTTTCATTTGCCTTTTTGGGATTCGTGATTAATAAAAATAATAAAATTTTACTTACGAATTAAAATCAGAAGAAATTAAACAAAGTTATAAACCGTTGCATTGCGAACGTCTAGTCTGGTCTAGTACACCAATAGTGCTACTTGTTCATTGATGGCGCGTATAATTGAATTATGTCGTATACCGAGCAAACAGGACGTATTCTAAAGCAGACGTATATCGAGGTACCACTGTATTTCAATATATGTAAATCTCCAAAACAAAAATTTATAAATTTAATTTGTACGTTTTGACAAAAGGAAGAATTTAATTTAATTAAATTAAATTCTGAATATATTAAAATTATTTTCAAAAGAGAAAACATACAATATTTTACTTCTTGTGTATTAAAAATGAATAAAAAGTTTGCAGTTGTTTGGAATTTGTTATAAAACGAGTTCCACTGTAAACTTTAGAATAGAATGCAATTGTTAAAATACTTCTAAATGACTCGAAAATAATTTTTAGTGTAATCATTTTTTGTACATGTTTTTAAGATTTTCACTTTGAATTTTTTCTGTCAATTAGGGATGATATTAGAAATAAAATGAAGACAAGATATTTAAATAATCCTGAATATAATTTTGAAAAAGTAAATCGTGCCAGTTTGGCTTGTGGACCTATGGTAAAATGGGCTATTGCACAGGTAATATTCTTTTTTAATTTATATAGATAACATTTTCCAGTAAATAAATTTTAAAGATAATGTCAGAAAAAGCTATTAATACAATTTTTTTAACTTGTCTTGTTATGAATATTAACTGAAATTTGTAGAACAAACATCTTAATTTTTACTATCAACCCAGATCATTATAAAAGTATGTGAATACACAATGCATTGATTTCATAGATGGATTATTAAAAAGTTTTCTTAATGTGCATACAAAAATCATTTAATTTATGTTTATAACAATCAGTTCAGGTATTTTAGTAACAAAATAGATAGTAAATATTATAATTTTGAATTATTATTGATCAGCAATCATGAAACTAGCACACTCTTGAATGTTGTGTGTCTAATGCATTGCACAAAATGTGATTGCCTATTCTCTCCCTACATTTATTTTTAAAAAATTAGACAGACAGATAATTGAAGATAAACCTGAACTGTGTCACAAAAGTTATTAAACTACATTGTTCATTGTTCGAAAATACTTGCTAACAAACTTTACTCATTCAAGCTCATTCAACTTACATTCAAAAATTTGCCAAAAATCCAGCAGTTATCATAGACATATGAAAAAATTCATGTATATACATTACTTTTTGTTGTTTATGGTAGTAAAATTTATTTTTGCTAGCATAAAAAATTTCTCCCAAAAAAATATGTTAAAAATGACAGACTGAATATTATTTATAATTTACGCAACTCAATCATAGATAAAATTTTTCGATTATATATTTCATTTCCATGAGTAGCCCTGCATGAATGGCCATTTGTTCTGTACATTTTGGTTAAAACAAACTCGAACAGTTTTTACACAAAGAAATTTCTTGCTTCAAAAAAATTATAAATACTTAAAATAAAATAAAATAGAAATAAAATTCCATTTGGTATTAAATATGTGAAACAAATGTACAGAATAACCTACAGTAGTGTAGTGCCATCTATGAATGGAATGTTTTATAAGAATCGTAAATTCTCAGATTGACGATAAATCGCCAAGTGATTTGTTTCATTAATTAACTACTTGGTGATATATCGACAAATGATTGCAAAAGAGTTAAAATAGTGAAGCTTGTTCAAATGTGTAAGAAACAAAAAATATAAGTACAGATGGATTTTGAAGACTAAAGCTTTTTATAAAATGTTACTAATGACAGAACCAGTAGGAAATGATATGGAACAAAAATTAATAAAACAAAAAATACTAGACTAGACCAAAAATTCATATCCAACAAAGGTCCTAAAAAGTCATTTAAGTTAATAATGATGATGGTATTTAGCAATATGTAACATCTCTTTTGACAACTGGCCAGCATAATAAATGCAAGACATTTGAGGTTCCCAAATTGCTCAATTTTGTGACCAGAATTTTAGCCCATTCTTCAGCACAATACATTATTAACTGCCAAAGTGTTTGTGTTTGTTATTGGTCCATTTTCCATTTCAATTAATGCCACATGTTCTTGAAGGCAATAAGTATTTCCAGGCTGTAGGAGTATGTGGATGTGTTTGTCAGCCAGCCAGGCTTTTATAATTATAGTCAAATAAATATTCCTTTATCATACTGAAATATGTTGACTGAATAATTTCCATTGCAAACACATATGTTGTTTTAAGATATGGATATATTATTGGGCTAAAATTGTACCATTGCAGAAGTCCAGGGTGCCAATACCATTGGCACTGAAGTAGCCTCAAACCATTAACCTGGAATATTTTTGTGTTGACCTCATTTGACCTGACCTGTCAACCCCGAACTTATTCATTTCTGCATTGGAACATTTTTGATACTAGATGTCACTGTGTCATAATTTTTATATTAAAATGAACTTTTAAAATATAAATTTTTTTTGTTTGATATTTTTCAATATATTTATTTTGTTTCCCTTGTACTAAATAAATAAATAAATAAAATATATTTATTTTGTTTGTGCAAATTAAAAAAATAATTTTTAACAATATAGTAGCCATGATTATTATTTTTAAAAAAATTGTTAGGCTTAACATTGACAAAAATTCAACATGGCAGCCGCAGGCAACAGAGAAAAATTTCAACATGGGATAAGTTAAATAACTGACTTTTGCACCTTGCGTATCAGGTGGTGGTAAATTGTTTCATTCTTGACAATTTTACCATACTTAATGATGAAAAGTCACTCATCAAACCATAATACTTG